TATATATATATATATATATATATATATATATATATATATATATATATATATATATATATATATATATATATATATATATATATATATATATATATATATATATATATATATATATATATATATATATATATATATATATATATATATATATATATATATATATATATATATATATATATATATATATATATATATATATATATATATATATATATATATATATATATATATATATATATATATATATATATATATATATATATATATATATATATATATATATATATATATATATATATATATATATATATATATATATATATATATATATATATATATATATATATATATATATATATATATATATATATATATATATATATATATATATATATATATATATATATATATATATATATATATATATATATATATATATATATATATATATATATATATATATATATATATATATATATATATATATATATATATATATATATATATATATATATATATATATATATATATATATATATATATACTGTATATATATATATATATATATACTGTATATGTATACACAGTATATATATAAAGATTGAAGTGTATAAAAATTCAAGTAAAATAATTATTGAATAATCTTCTAGTAAATAAAAATTAGTGAGAGAAATTTGAACCAAGTTCCTCTACATAGTTCTGTAAATTGATGAATACACCTCAATCCTATAGAGCCGTAATGCATGAAAATGTGCACTGCATTAAAAATAATTTCTTGGCGTTCTCCAAGTTTCCTGTGAGCTGATTCCACTCAGCACTGAACTTTCCATTTGCTGGTTTTTTCACGAAGATGGGGAAAAGTGACAATTATTACTGTCAGAGAATCCAAGAACTCCACACAGGCCTCAGGATCTCTCTGCATTGCATCCAGAAACCGCCTCAGGCACTCAAAAACTCCATTAATATCTGCTGCACAGTCGACCTGTGTACCCGAAGACTCTGTGGCGGTGATGGCCGAGACCCGGGTTTCAGCATTTTCCAGGCGCCTCGCCAAGGCGTCCTTTTCGGACTCGACCGCCGCCACCTGGTCGCGCAACCGGCGTTTCTCCAGCTCAAGGCGGCGACATCTATCCACGCACTCCTCCAACAACGTCGGCAGGAAATTCTCATCGCTGCTGGCCACTTCTGCTCCACCGAAACCAGAATCGGGTTCGTCATTGATGTTGGGATCGCCGACGGATTTCTGCATCACGTTTTCGTTACCGCAAACGAACGCAGGCAGCAGAGCGAAAAATAAACGGGATCACGCTCAGGTGTAGGTGCTTATTATCGTGAAAGTAAGATTTATTGAAGGTATAGGAGGAAATGGAGGAATGCTTACTGGGTTTAGAGATGTTCGATGGTTTGAAAAAATATTCCGCCTCAAACATTCTTCAACGAATCCAAGAGGACAAAAGTGTTGAGACTTTCAGAGGCTTTTTCTGAACTGTTTATCACCTTGATGAGGGGCATTCTTTTTCAAGAATTATCCAAATGAATACATGTGTGTTTTCCATATTTTCCCAAGAAAATATCGTGCTTGTTTCCTATTTAAATTCTCTCAGGAAGGGTTACAATTTATGCATGGATAATAATAAACGCAACATTACTTTATTTATTTGAGTGTCAAACCTTCTTGAGTGACATGCACTTGATTTTTTTTTGGAAAATTTATGCACGATTTTTTGTTGTTGAATTTGCTGAACAAAACCTATTCCTGCATAAAGGCCCAAGCTTTCGATAGCTGAAAATAAAAAGGTCAAATAACAGTCTTGTTATTTTTATATAAAATAAAAATCACTATACACAGATTGATGCCAAACTGAATTTCCTTTTGATTATTTTCAACTACAGTACAGTATGTAGAGACACGACTTGCACCATCATTGGTTTCATGATTTTTCTGTTGATGTATACCCGCATACCCCTTTTTTTCTTTCGTTAAAATTCACAAATTCATGGGCAAGAAGCAATTTTATTCTTCGTGGTTTTTTTGTTTACTTTCCTCCTGTTATCATACAGCTTCACACAAATGTTTCCCAATTTTGATTTTTTATATCTGTCTTTCCAACGTGTTTACATGATACATACATATTTCAAGGAAACACCCATAATCAGTGTAATGGTGAGCAAAAATAAATAAAAAAAACTACCATCACAATAAAGGAAGCCTTTGACTTGATTATAAAATAAAATAGCGGAGCCCAACATATGGATGCCCCAACATGCAGAAAAATTGACTCATGGAAATTTAAATTTTTAAAATCTGCTTCAAAATCTGCTGGACAATGTCTCAAGATACAGATAATTTTTCAATTTTCCAGTATACAGTATTCTTTTTCAGAACACTGACGTTTACGGAGAAAATTACGCTATTAACATGGATATAGCTATTAACATTAAGCTATTAACATTTTCATTTTCATTCCGAGAACTTTTGTTAGAACCCTCGTAAAGTCACCAAAAACCTAAACAAACGAATTACGCTGTTTTCACCCGAAAAATATAGGATAATACGTACTGTACATTCCTTCATAGGCTTCCTTAGGAAATACCAACTCCATCAATATGTGAGCTTTTTTTTGCTATGCCAAAAAGGTTGATACTGAAAGGCTTTCCTCTGCAAAATTAGTTTACGTGCTTCAAAATTCATAAAAACATTTTTATTAAATTTCAGGTGGATGTTTCCCAATAGTTCTGCCATGCATGAGAAGTGNTCCATCAGCAAGATCACTCACAGAGTCATTGGCGCTCAAGTACATGACGTCAGGATTGTCATCCATCACTTGGAGAGACTCAGTTTGATTTTCAATCACCACAACATTTGGGACTGGTTTGGCAGACTCATCACCTTTTACTTTATCCGAGGTCATCAAGTGTTCGCAGTCTGGAAGAGCACTGTCTGGGTGCAGGGCCACGATAATACCTCTCATGGTTCCAATGAGGAGAGATCTGGCATGTGATACCAGTTGTTTGCCAGGATCTTCATCCTTGTTTGTATCTGCGAATGTGACATAAAATTTGTCAGGAGAAAACATCATCTGAGACTCCTACAATGAAGTTCTGGAATAAGTCATTCGGTTAACCTAGCACTTTCGTCCAGTTTTTATAAATGAATTGAAAAAAGCAAGGAAAGCAGAGAACTTGAAAATGTATGACTTGAAATAGATGTTCTTTGCAAGAGGCATACAAAAATTGTGCGTTTATTATTTCCTCTCCCCCGAAAGATAACCCTAATTAGAACATACAAAGATAAAAAAAAATCTGATTTGTGAAGAGAATACAGGCATCTGTTTTTACTTTTCATCTCGCAGTAAATTGAAAACTTATTAAAAAAGCGAAAAAATCCCACGAACTTCCATCATGGGCTGGGCAATGTTAAATTTTTTTTTAAAGTCATGAATACTCTAGAAATAACCAAGGTCGCGCCCAAGTGGGACAACCCTCATATAGCCATCTCCACCCACGTATCTATCTACTTTACATTTACAGTCTCTCTCATCCTACATACTGTATATGGTACTGCACTGTATATCCGTCAGTATAGATTCTGTACCCTCACTCCGTCTATCCATGAACCTACCTATATCTACATAAAAGAGTTAATTGCATGTCAGCGACACTCACCAGGATCCGAGACAACGCGGCTCTTGTACAAACAAGGCATCTGTTTTTGGTCCAGAGTCACAACCGCCGACGTGTTCAAGGGATCCGTGGCCTCATTGATCATGCTTCGAACCAGTTCCACCACATGCTGGTCCTCCTGTTCAGCTTCAGCCCCATGATGAAATCCAGTCAACCCCAGCAGCACCAACACCAACAAACCGCTCTTATGCATATTCTCAATACGAAAATGGGAAACCTCTCTGTATTTCAGCCCACTATTTGCGATAGAGTGAAACTCAAGATGGGAAAAACTCTGGATTTCCTCCCCTGATATTTTTTTTTCCGGTGCTGTCTGCATGACGTGGCGAGATTTTTCTGGAGAAACTTGCGCACTTGGATTTCAACTTGTGTCGAGTCACGCAGTTCGTTTTTTTTTTTCTAAAGAAAGCGCACGGAAGGCCGACTACATAAAAATATAACTTGGGAAAATTGTTGTGACCAAGATGAGCGCGATAGCGACCTCACATATATGTCCACATGCACGTGCGGGTGATTTTCGAGTAGGAATGATTGAGAAATTGAATGCGGGCGCAACTTTCTCTCCGAAGGAATTTGATGAAGTGCTGCTTCTGCGACTCCAGTCACTTAATTCAGAAAAACCGTGTAGCAATGAAGTCACTTCGGGACCTACACCTAACAAAATGTTTTTACGAGAAAAAATTTAATTATACTTAGGCTTTTAGCATTTATCGCAAGTTTACCCCCAAAACGTTACCAGAAACCATGAATCTAAATTCACCAAGAACAATGAATCTCAAAGTAAAACGATTTTTTTTTCCAAATGTCCGTGCGAATTCGTTGTAACGCGACATTGGAATATGGTCTAGAGACATTGAAGCGAACAGTAAACCTCCAAATGGCGCATGAATAAGTAAGATGATGTGTTATACGGCATTCCAAATAAACCTATTGGCAAGATTTTCAGTCATGCCACAGACGGTATTTGGCTGTACCTAAGATGACGCGCGAATATTGCTATATTTGAGAAGTTTATCACTATGATAATCTACACGCCCGAGACGACAGGAAATGCAAGGCTTTGGTTCATTCACGAAGTCATCTTCCGTGCCGATAAATCTCACAAGTTTAGCTAGCTTTTTAAATTATTCTACAAGGATTTGGAGAAGTTTCGAATGCACATTACTTACCGAGACCTATTCCATCAATGCTGTGCAATACTTTTTTCACTGCTTTTAAAAACCAGAATTACAGCAGGGCCCTGAAATGCACAAAATTATTTCTCCATACGTCACAATACCGTGCTTCATAAAAATTTTGCTGACACACTGAAGAATTTTCTCATGAAGGACTGTAAAACTGGCGAAAGAGTAGAAACAACGCTCGGAATTGACGCGGACTTGAAACAAATTTCTTCCCGATTCATACAGCGTTTGATGGACCTGCGAACCGCAGATTTGATGCAAGAAGACAAGACTGTACACTCAACTTCTACTCGGTCATGCAAAAAAAAAAAAAAGGAAGACTGAAGTCAACCTGCAACAACGTAGACGAAAGAAATGCAAGGATTTTTTTTTAACTGACACTGATAATGCCAGAATTTATTACGATTACACTTAGAACAGAAAAGAACGACTCATTCACACAAATGTCGCAACTTGTCTCAATCGTGCTTCGCCATCCATTTTCGTATAAAACCATATATCTTAGAACCGTCATTCAAGCACGTTAATATTACGAGAATGTGAAACAAAAAACAATAACCTCCTTCCGCCAAAACAGGAAAACGTGCACAATTTTGACAAAGGCGACAATAAAAGCTTGACGAAATTGTTGTACTATTTTAGCTTCGCACACATCCCAGTGCGATTCTCAGAACTAAAAACCGGCGGGGTCAGAAATGAAAGCCAGCAAAATATTTACGAAGATTTTAAAGTTTACATGTCAAAAAATCGGGACCTTTGGTGATTTTGAGTGGTCCAAATGACTCGTCTTGATCCAACTCGATGGCCTTCGCCTTCTTGAGGACCAAAAGAGTATAGAATTTTTGGGAGACCTGAAAAACATTTTCCACGAAAAATTATCATGCACTTTGAACAGCAAATGATAACTAGGACATACCTGCTTGCGATTATTGCTCACGATCATCGAATGGAACTGCAGACTCTTTTCACCAGGAGCATCTAACGTATCCATCTCGAGCTCATCAAATTTGGTCTAGAGTTGCAAACGAAAAAAAAACCATATCAATACCGTTAATAAAACTCAGCATTCGATATTAATAATGCCTCAAATACATCATTAAAAAATAATGACAAAAATTCGAAATATTCCGACTCACTTTGAATATGCGGTGCATCTGCAAAGCTCTCTTATTGAGAACTCGCTCCTCATATTCCTCGTAGGTTTCATCTGTTGCCTGGATATCTTCGGGTTCATCCATCAGTCCTCCAAGACCCATAGAAGGTGCGACCGACGGAGGGAAATCGAAATCGTGACCGGGCGTCATCATTGCAAAAGGTCCTCGCACACTAAACGGCGAGAGAGGAGCGTGGACAGGTTCCTGAAAAAGAAAGACATATTAAGCATCAGGATAGAATTAACTTGAGAAAATCGTCAGATGATCCGAGAAATATGCGTTACTAATGAAGCTTCAAGGTTTTTTTCCAAGTATGATGGTTTATACGGGATGTATAGAGATAAATTTGATGAAAGACAGATTTTTCCGGATAGACTGAATGGTCCACACATTCGTGAGTTACACTGTAATCGTGGAATGGATTTCTTCTCAGAAACATTATCCGATGAAGAAATTCACGAAGAATTAAACGCGGTAAAAATCATACGCGTAAATCCTTTCGGAAATCGTGGAAAAATAGACTTCAACATCTTCAGAAAGAGGTTAATAATTTCAATGTATCAAGCTGACAATCCGAAAACGATCTGGATTAGTCCCCGCACTTCGAGTCACACTACCCAATTCCAAAATAATCTTTCGAATCGCAGTCTGAGAACTTACTTGTGGGATTTCCGGTCCATCCCAACCCATGTTCGCCATTTCAGGCTGTACACTGTCCAGTCGGGATAAGTCCGCATCTGCATTCACAGAGGAGGACATGACCGGAGGTGAAATCAAGCTCGGTTCTGCCAGGAGAGTAGATTCCTTCGGAATTGACGGAGCGTGCATTGCTTCGAGCTGTTGCTCGAGGTCATTGGGAATTTCTTGCTCGAGTGGTGGAGCTGGAGGTTGTAAATGCTCATGTTCTAGTTGCTGGTGCAGTTGCTCATCCTTGTCTTCTTCGTCTTCCGCCATGCTGATGGCCTTCCGTTTTCGCGTTTTCCGTTCTGATCGGCGCATACCAGCATTTTCAACAATGTTTTCCTTGTCTTCCTCATGGTGTTCCTCTTCTTCGACTTCATTCGATTTCTTCTTCCAGACTTGTTCTAATGATTACATAAAAGTCACATTTAGAACGATCATAAAGAAAACTTTTGCGAACCTTTGAAAACCAACTGACCTTCTGGAGCTTCTTCAGCAGCATCCAACTGAAGGACATCATCATCCATTGGTCCATCAGGCAACTCCTCGTTTTCCATTTCGTGAGAGATCAGATGCCTCGAGTAGATACGAAACATTTCTTTACCCGGGATGTTCCGACCTGACACGGTGAACAACCGCTCAACTCCACCAGTTTCCTTCCAATGCATTAGTCTAAAAAAATTCACGAAAATGAAAACTCCGACGTTAAGTCCAGTGACATTTCCCCCACAAATAGGACACGCTCATCAATAAAATTAAAAGAATAACACTCAAGCAACTTTTCAGGATTTAGCCTACGAATTTCTGTCAACTTGGAAATGTTTGAGAAATCCTTCGTGGTAACTATGAAAGCTGACGAGCAGAGTTTAGGTTCACACAGAAAATTGTTTGAACGAACAAATCTCGCGTTTGCTCCACATTTGAGCTATTACGATATAACGTTTTGAACATCAAGTCGTGGCAAAAAAAAAAGTTACGTCAATAACTGACTTTTTCTCTTCGACCATGAGTTCAATCTTGATAACTTATGCATACTGTACTGTCTCCAAAGAATGTACAATAGACCGATAACAATCAGCTTTGATTTTATTTTGATCAAAATAAAATATATACAGTATATTTAGAAAACGGTATCTAGAAATATACTGTGATGTAATAACCTTTTGGTTGGTGGGGCAAGGTCAAGAGTGGTGACGATATCAGCAGTATCGGCCAACTGGGCTTTCATTTCTTCCCCTGAAATGTTCTTGACCTCGTCTACAATAAGCTTACGTTTCCTCTTAGTTCTGGGCCATCCTTTTAGGGCCGATGCGTCAACCGGTGCCAAAGCGAAACTTTCGTCTTCATTCTGAATTAACGTTGTTTGCTCTGCTGTTGTGTCGATAATGGAGGACGCAGCAGCTGCTGCTGCTGAACGAGTTTGTCTCGGGGCAGGAGGTGGCATGACGCTTTCTGGCTGAACTGGGGCTGGAGATTCACTTCTTGAGCTGCCACCTGAATTGGAAAGAAGAAATTTTAATATAATACGGCTGCAAATTTGACGATTCAGATTTCTGGGGAAGTATGTGAATTCTTTGACCTCTCTAAATCGGCGTTTATGGAGACAAACCCAATCACTAGCGAAGCAATCCTAGCACAAGCTCAATACGTAAAGCAGTCACATACAGTAAATAAAATATAATCTTGCTAAATACTGTATAACAAATTACTGCTCCTTTTTTGAGACCATCGTGCTTTGGAGGTCCCTCCCCAATAGCGATTATGTTATTCAAATAGCTCATCATGTTATTCAAATCGCTTCATACCGAATTTACCGTAATAACGAAGCTTTTCTACCTGGTCTTGACAGCTTCGTCGTTCCGAAATTTCACTGTACCAGATAGACCAGAAAAAGGAAAAATATCCAGACTGCTGCCTTTCCTGGAAGTTTTACGCTATTTTAGTTTTAAAAAAATCATTCCGTTGCTTTGGCTTGGAAGTGCTTTTCCTGGTCTGACAGAATTTTCTACTGCGAGTATTTCTCCACGAAGAGCAATAAAACTAAGATTTGCGTGGAATCGACTTCAATTTTCTTTCGAAGTCCGGCGAACTCTAAATAAAAAAAACATATATTACAAATTTCCCCCCAATATTCTGATTGGCTAGTTCCAGAAGATCAAAGACGGCAGAGAAATACTGTATACGGAAAAAAATTGATTCCGGCCAAACATGCGTGAAACTGCGCCAGGAAAGCGGGATTCTGTTGCAACCAAAAGCGTTCCGTCTCTCATTTCCGTCATGTTGTGATATGCTGCATTGTACTTTGGTACTCAGACAGTGCTGAAACATTCCCCGTAAGCGAAAATCCTGTAAATGAACGACTAGTATACTTGTTCGTAAATAATCGGGAAACTTCGAAAGAGACGCCAACGTGGAAAATGGATAGAATGGCCTGAAATAGATACATGACGCTGTAATCCCTGAAAAATCCCATCAAGTTTGCAACAGGATGGGCGTAAGTTCCCCCACGATTACATCGGAAATCAAGCATTTACAAAAGTTACACCTTCAAAAACCGGAACCGTCAAGAAGACCTGCAACATCGATCATTGTGTGAATGATGAAATCCAACCACGTACGCGAACGCAGCGCTAGATTACAGTTTTCGTGGTGGAAGACACAACACAGCATTAACGCATCCTAGCGCTCTATACATGAAGTTCTGACGCAGATCCGAATCCTGCTCGCTATAACATGATTTTCAAAACAGGATGTCAAAACGTTTCCCGAACACATCCGACGCTTAGCTGCGCTGGATCGCATTCACCAAAATGAACGATCACACCGTTAATCGAAGTCCGGCAGAGAACTTCCGAGTCGAAACCAGAAACTTCACACGAGAGCAATTTCACTGCACATCACAGGCAAAGGCGTAGCTGGAACTCACCAACAGACGGGGGTCCGGCGTCAGCAAAATTATCGTCATATGCGTCGTCGTCACTATCTTGCGGCAAAACTGCCTCCGGTTGAGGCTGAATTTCTTCCTGTGGTTCTGGTGCAACAAGGGTGTCATCCAATGGTTCAGGAGGATTTGAAACATCCATCGGCACATCGTCAAAAATGCCACCCTCAAAAAGTCCTCCGGCCATTATATCCGCTCCTATGGGTCCACCGAACCCGTCGTCCGCTGGGGTGTCAATTATGCTACGGGCAGGAGTTTCAGGCAATTCCAGCGGCGCCGACGTTTCCAACGCGGCCAAGTGTGACTTCGAGCGTTGCGGAGCACCAAATCCGGGATCGGGAAAATTCAGGTCTCTCTAAGAAACGACAGCGACTAAATGAATACAGTATCAGTTTTCTTCAACTGTTCAGCGAAATACGTACATCAGGAACTTCATGATCATCACGCAGCAATTCTGACGCCTCAGAAGTTTCGAGGCCAACGTTTCCAGAAAAGTTGTCGTCGGCATCGAACTGGCTGCTCATCTGCAAGTTGCCGAAGTCTTCTCGCATAGTGATCTCTTCAGCGCGACTTTGATTGAGAGCAAACTGCGCTTGGATGTCCACATCACTATAACGTGCATACATAAGAGCTTGTAGAATCTCAAACCGTTCCAGCAACAACCCAACTTACTTCAAGTCATTCAAATCGTTGTCAAAATCATGAAAAACTTCAGGCAAGGTGATCGCGTTGACCGCTGCCTCGCGGCTTTCTTCTGGAAGATCAACCATCCCCGGCCTGCATGAACATTCAACACATGAAGGCAAAACTGTGACTTACACTAAAATTCGAAAAAATACCTGAAAGCCATTTTAATCTTGACGAACGCCTCATTGCAATCGGCTAACAAATACTTGGCTTTCCTGGAATAAATTCGTACAACTCCGAGCAGTAGATGACCAGATGTCCGCAACGCAAGTTTGACCTTCGTAAAAAATAAGGGAGCGAGCTCAAAAAATGAAGCACTCGACCATCAATTCAAAGTGCGCACCTTGGGCTGAAGAATTCCCTCCACGGATTTTTCGATATTCGTCTCGAACACGTGTGCTTTGGTGAGCTTTTTGTCCCAATGCGCGGCAAGCCATATACGGGCCAGAGGGCCCTTTTTGCTCAAGACAAAATGGGCGTAAAACATGATTCAACCTATGAAATACAGAATTCGGATGCATATATGTAAACTAATATAGTAATCGGAGACTACCCATGAAGGAAACTCAGCGCGCAGTATTGTCACCCGCAGCAATGCGAATCTGGATGCAAACGTTCATACTGTACTTAAATTCGACGATCGCCATTAAGCATTCGTCGTTTCCACACACTTACTATTCTCGGTACGAAGTTCGCGTCTAAAGCAACTACGGAACTTTTTCACACACGGACTAATGCAATAATCACCTCACACACCGCGAACAGAAATCCGCTTCGATCCCGCCAAAAATTTTTACTGCGCCATACTTTTCTCATGAAGAATTTGAACAGCTATGGAGGACGCCATGTTCAAGAGTTCGCAGAGCTCTAAGAAATTTCATAGTAAATATGATAATCCCTGGTCCATTGCTTGGCACGATGACGAACGTCCCGAGATTCTGATTACAGTAATACAGTACTGTACAGTTTTCGCGATTGCTCGGCTTGCTTGTTTGCATTTATTGTACCAGAATGTATTTCGGGAAATCACCTGCGGTTCAAGAAGCACATAGTGAGGAAGTTTTCCTCCCAATGCTGTGATTGAATTTCATTTAATATCCGTTGCAGTTTATCCGATTATTGTGTTAGGTGATTGAAATTCACGAACGACATCGGTATTCATGATGGATTTAGACGGGAAACTTTTAATAAAGGTTCGTGAAAAAATATTTATGTTGAGTGTTTCCTGGTGTCTGAAAGCGTGCAAAATTTTCATGCAGGTTCGTTTGGATGACGACATACGCGTGATCCCTATTCATAATGAGGAGATCACGTATGATGAACTTTTGGTAATGATGCAGAGAATTTTTCGGGGAAAATTGGATGCAGATGATGAAGTACTGATCAAATATCGCGACGAAGGTGAGGAGATTTTCTGTGTAGGAGGCGGAACACAGGTAATTTTCTAAGATTCCTTGAAGTTTACTCTTTTGAACTTGATCTGCTAGATGGGGATATGATCACGATTTTCGATTCAAATGATCTATCTGTTGCAATTGGATTGAGCCGTCTGCTGAAGCTGACGCTGTTTCTGAAGCCGAAGTTGAAAAAACTTGAATATGATGACCTATGGAAAATGAGGAAGTCTTTGCAGAACATTCGCGGAGCCGTAGACAAGCTACTGGAAAGATTAGATTTATTTGAAAAGGACGATAAAATTAACAGCGAAGGAGATGCGAGTGAGTCCTGCTTAATTTCTGAAGACTATTTTCAACTCAATATCTATCGATTTCAGCTGTGGTAGAGAAATCGGAATCCATTCCAGTGAAACCGATCTGTTCCAAAGAATTCGACCCTCTTGAACAAGACCGAGGCAGTCGATCTTCTCTAGAATCGGATGAACGTATGTTCTTTTGCTGACTAGGAATTATAGTTTTGCAAAACTGAGGTAAATATATATTTTCAGAAGATGGCAAGGGAATACTGAATGGAACTGCAGGATTATCGGAACCGCCGAACGTCCAGCACGGGATGCATCCACAATCGAGCCAACCTCAGGTAGGTATTCCTGGTGCGCGTCCGTTGCCGTCAGCTGGTCAATTCAATCCTGTTCTTAATCGCCCCCCGCATCCGATGCCTTCTGCTGCTCAGCCAACGGTACCTGGTGTACCCCGTGCAGGTGTGGTTTTTTTGTTTTTGTATTCAATTAGTAAATACAAATTTCTAGATTTCCCGTGAAGATTCAGTTTAAAGTAAAGTGATCGAGGAATAAACCTAGGCTATCAATTGTGAAAATCATGTTACTTCACATAAGTCTTTTTGGTTTCCACAACATCCCGAAGGCAACTCTCTTAAAACCTGAGCTTATAACCATTCAGATGTAATAGAGTAGTTTAGTTCATACAGATACGGAGATGCTAGGAATTGCAGTTTTTTTTACCGTAACGACGATCGCGTCAAAAATTATCCTGGAAATGCTATGGATGGCTTCCGAAATTCCCTGGACTTTCGAAAAGATTTCAATTACTGCATACCGAGTTGCTGTACTAGAAATCTGGCTAGAAGTCTAACTATGTTCTAAGACATTTTATAAGTTTTATTTCAGCAATGAACTTCTTCCACGAATAATTCCTAAAGACTTCATCAAAGAATGAGCGTGTAAAAAATTAATTTGAGTCAATTTCGCTAAGAATGTGATCGCTTTCTTAAAATTCTTTCGAGTCATCCGCGAGACGAAAAAAGTAGGAAACTGGTGGATTAAATCTACGGAATTATTTATCGTCTTTTATATCTACAGTTCTTTTTTTAAAGTTTATGAGATGATGAAATATAGCCAGAAATAGTTTTGATTTTAACTTATTTTGATCATCCGAATAGCAATGAATTTTTTTTGTTTTTAGTGTGTGTGTTTTTCTTGTGCTTCCAATATGTGCACTTGCCAACAGTTATGTAAAAAAAATGTTCATAGATCCGATGAGTGCCCAACAATTCTCACCGAGGTTGATGCATCCTCAAGCCCCGGGTCAACCCATGCAACCACGATTGGGTTTGCAGCCACATCCGCAGATGCCGCAGTTTCAGCCTATTCGACCGGCTGGCACTTTTCAGCATCAACATCCGCAAGCATCAGAAATGCATCCACTACCTGGACCACTTCCTGGCCCTCCACGTGCTCCCAGTTCAGTACCCGGGCCGCAGCATCCACCAGGACCCATTCCTGGGGCACACATGCAACCTGGCCAGGTAACCGGGCCCCAACATCCAGGCATGGCAGGTCCACAGCAAATGCAAGCACCACATGCAGCCCAAGCTCCAACGTGGCAGTACCCTGCCACATCTGTTCCTGGACAACAACCACAACAACCCGCTGCGGGATTGCCTTATTATCAACCGCAACCGCAGTACCCGCAGCAACAGGCACCGCATCAACAACAGCCGCCTCATCAACAACAGCCGCCTCATCAACAACAGCCGCCTCATCAACAGGCCCCGCATCAACAGCATCCACAACCACCGCAACACCAATCCCCGTCTCCGCATCCTCAACAGCCGCCGCAGCAAATGCAAGCTCCGACGAGCTCGGCTCCTCCGTCGTCCACGCCGCCCATGGGCCCACCGGTGGGTGTTGGAGCTGGACGAATTAATCCGTTTAGTGCCCGCAATTCCTCTGCGACTGTTCGTCCTCAATATCCATATTTTCAGCAACCACCGCAACAATAGTTCCGTGATGGATTTGATTTTATTGCGTGTGTCAATGAAGAAGGTGCCGGTCTGGCGTGTCAGCTACGCTGAAATGTGCATCCAACACAGATTCGCGTAGCGGTATGTCATCTAGGTCGATATATTGGGCTGCTTCTCTAGAAATTATGACCTATGTTTTAAAAATAAATTTCTAGCGTTGTAAAGTTCCCCAGTCAGGAAATGAATGCAGTTGTCCAATTGAAGTAATCCCAACAGCCCAAGAAAATGAATCTGGGGAGTTTTTCAGCAAGATCTGTTATGAATCTTAGGATCGTAGTATTTTTGTGCCTCCTGTTCCCTGTTTAACCTTAAGGAAGTACCGCATTTTTCGTCCAAGTTGAGAGGAATAGAATTCCATTAATCAGCCTCGTTCTACCTTTTAATCCACAACCCAAATTTATGAAGCCTTCTCTTAAATATTTGTAATTGTACTTCGTGACGATTTAGAAGGAATCGTTCAAATCGGAAATGTTTGAAAATATTGTCAGCATTTTCCAATCATTCTTGGGAAGATGTCAAAGAAGCTCTAGCAATCGGAAGTTTCATAGAATAGATATGATGGCGGGATTATGCCAGGTGACATGTTGATGCGTAAACGAGAGTTAGATGACCCGCTAGACCGGCATCGTGTGTAAGGTTGCTTTTCGCGATTCAGAGAATTCTCGCGAAAAGAATGTTTTTTTCGTTCTGAAGATCCTCTGATATTGCGCGTCGCGAATGTTGCAAGTGACCTTGCTTGAGGAATGATTTTGTTTTTGGACCGGTCATGATATCCCGTCAGATGTATATTTTTGTGTTAGCTTGCAGTGGCAGATCTTTCATCTTCATGGACATTTCGGGTTCTTCCGCTCTTGGTTATTTTAGTCAATATTTTTTTCGGGCGCAGTGGTTATGAAAGCAAAGTAAAGGATGTTGAGGCTGGAAAAAAGGATTTGGGAAAGCGCTTCGATGCATAGAGAGTTTCTAAAAAAAAATTATTCGTGAATTTCCAGGAAACGAGATAATTGTGCGCAATGTCTGACGAAAAGAGTGAGGATTTCTTGACACAGACCAAGGTCATTTTAAGAGAAAATCTTGATATTTTGGGATCAAAAGACATGCATAACCCACAAGTGCAGCGAAAATTTTATAGAAACAAGGTGAGTGATTGATTCTGGCCACTGGTATATTTTCACTGTGTCCTGAAAATCCTTTTTATCTCTTGTTTTTCGCAGACTCTGATGGTATTCTTGGTATTTTTGATGGACACTAAGGACATCGAACTGGACGCGTTGCTGGTCGAAATATTTTTCAAGATGTGTTCTCAAGTAGCTGGACGGGAGGCATTACTTCGAACGGAACATTTCATGGACGGCTTGAAAGATCTTCAACGATCTTCCGTCAAGCGCTCCATTGAAACAGAGTCGATGTTGTTCACTGTCGTGCAAAAGCTGCGTGAACATGGTAAAGAGTCCAGAGTAGGAAAATTGGATCCAAGCTTCCGTAGAAAAAGCACTGCGCCGCTGAAGACGATAAATGCTGGAATCAAATCCAGTTTGATAGTTCTGAAGCTTGACGGAGTGGAGAGTGCTGTGAGTACGTGTGTTTTGTTGCGCTCAGTTCTTGCTTTATTGTTCTTTAAGTTGAAATTTGAAGTTTAATTCTAAAATCTGTGAACGGTTTCCAAATTTCAATTCCTAAAATTTTCTTTGAAAAGATTAGAACTGCATCTGGACTACTATGAATTGAGAACATCCGCGGATGTTGAGAGTGCCTCAAGTTTATCAAACTGTTAACGTGGATGAAAATGTTGAAAAATCAAATGATACGTGTTCGATATGTGTACAAAGGGTTGATGGAATGTGAAAATTACAGAAAGATGCGCCTGATTGTTTACATGAAAGGATCACTCGAGGAAAGTGTTGTCGCAAGCGTTTGATTTAGAGCGCTTTTACAAGACGTAATTTTTCTAAATTTTTGGAAATTTTGATTTCAACAAAGCGCCAATTTGCTCAATTGTGAAATTTAAAATCTGAAATCTGCGATCGTACAATTCTAGGAAGATCAAGAGGATATCAAAAAAATCTTGGTTGAAGTTCCTGGTGTCCTATCTTTCTACTTCGATTCCAAAAACCGTGATCGGGTGAACATCCGAGCAAAGGAAAACGTATCGCCATTACGACTTGCAGCGGCAATAAGCAATGCAGGCAACTTCTTGTGTTATCTTGTGAAAAAAAGGGAAGGCGACCAAAATGAAAACGGAGAGGTTTGTTGCATAAATTAATCCAAAGAAGACTTCTGAAGAATGTGGCTTTTTGTGTGTAGGATCTCCTGTTGCTGAAACCAGAAGAGGGTGGAAATTTGGATTTGTCTTACTTTCCTGACGAGACTATCTACGATGGAAATGCGCCTGCGTTGGTGAATACTTCCTTTTCTGTCGGGGCGGGAGTAGTCAACACCGCCGCCTCATGGATCTCAGCTGCCGCTGGACTAATTAGGCGTCCTTTCTGGTGAAAGAAGATTTTTAAACTTGTGCGACGGAAACTCTTGCTTTGAAGTACTTCGATATGATGTGATTTCGATCGTGCGCAATTTTCTGAAAATATTTCACGCATTTTATGTTCAAGTGAAGATGATACCCAATGGATGCGAGATTTTGAACTGTATGTTTTATAAACTTTGGCACTTTTTACTGATGATTTCAGAAAATGTGAATGGGTGTTCCTTTTATCAGTGTTTTCCACGACCTGAGATGGTGCTTACACACGAAGATTTTTTCTTTAGTTGCATTCGACTGACCCGAATCTTTTGATAAGTGTTGACTTTTCAAGCATAATTGCATTGGATTTAGTGCGACACTTCTCATATCTCCAAATATGGATGAGTCAGTTCTCCCAAGTTCTTAATTGTTGAATTTTGATACATTGCACGAGGATTATTATCTTGAGGTTTTAAGATATTTTCGAGGTATGCTAAGCAGGAAAATATGGCTTGGACTTAATTCTATTTTCATGTCGTATGATACGCATACCTGCCTCGAGAAAAGTTTAGCTACCTAAGATAGATCTCTGCTAGAATTCTGTGAGCTTGGGCTGAAAGCGTGGTATTCTCAGTTTCAAATAAATATACGTGGTTGGTATTTCAAGGTGAGATACTGAACTGTGTAGATTTTCCAGGTGAGCACCATTTCAGTTAGGTTGACTTTTTCTAATTCCACGTGAATATTATTCAACGTTTTGAATTATTTCTTAATCCCATGTCTAACAGGAAACTAATTCCTGAGAAAATGGAGTGGATGTATAAAGGGCCCGGGCAAAGCTCGGCAGATAAAGAGGAATACCTTCTCGGAAAACCCATTGACAAAACGTTCGAGGAAAGCCACCGTCTCGGAGGCTCAATCGTAGATGCGACACCTGCACCGTTGCTCGGAAAAATTCGGAGTGAATCTCGTGTCGACGTGGATCTCGCGCGGAAAGTGACGGAAGATCCGTTGGTGAAAATTAGACTTGCTGAGCGCGACAAGTTGAAGCACGCACGTGACAAGTACATCGCGCAGAATCTGGGAAAGAAGAACCAGGACAAGCATGTGAAACAAGACGATTCGATCGACGATATATTGCATGGGAAGTTGAGAAGGTTTTTCGAAGTCACGGACGCAGATGCCAATATGGACTACGACTATTCGTCATTAAACTCTCTCGTCAAAAAAATGTTCAAGTAAGAAGGAGTAATTCTTGTCAAGATTTCAAATTGCGTGAATTTTGCATGTGGATTCTACAATGAAATTCAAGGGACCAGAAAAAAGTTCGTTGTGGAGAACCGCTATAAACTGGGGAGATAACCCTATGGGAGCGAACGAAAAATCGTTATGCAGAGAATATCGTCATAGAGAAAGTCGACCTGTATCCACAGATTGCGTGCTACTTGCCCTGACTATCTTTCGTAATACAGTACTGTATGTCTTTCGTGTGCATGAAACAAAAGTTGAGCTACTGAGTATTTAATTTTAAGTATTTCCATGATGAACTGAACTATCTCGAGAACAGAAGTCGAACTAATGCTCGCGGGGTTCCCTTGGAAATGATGGGTCCACTTTCACTGGTATGACCTGCAAGAATATTTGAAAAATTACGCTTCATCGGAAGTTGCCGTATTCTTTTATGTGAAGATGGAAGATCTTTCTTGAGATTTTTTGCGGAATTTTATTTCAAGATTTTTAAAAACTTATTTGCCGAACATATTGAGCACTAACTGCACTGTAATTACCCAAATACCACGCGCACCTTTTTCCCCCAGAATATTGTAGCAAAACTGCGTCATAGTTGGGTTCAAATTTTCAAAAGAAATTTTTGGGAAATTGGAAAATTTTCCCAGTTTTTAATATATTTTTTAATGTACTGTACCGCTCTTTTTGTAATTTTCTTTGAACTTTCGATTTCTTTCCCCTGAATCTCGAGATATTTTATTGTCTGGTGGTTTTCATATTCTAATACAGTATTACTCAAATTCCAGGTTCGCGAAGAAGAGATTGGCAGACGATAGCAATTCAAGCGACGACTCTTCTGACGAAGAACCAAGTCGAAGAAAAGAATCAGATCATTCCAGATCCATCCGCCATGTGCCTCGTGACCATTCTCCTTCTCCTCGTCTTTCAAGAAGACGCGACAGTCCTTCACCCCCTAGAAAACGTCAAGGAATATCTCCTGATTCGCATCCCTGGAAACGAAGACGAGAAAGCCCCTCTCGAAGACATCCCAGTCCTTCGCATCCGTCAACGTCAAGGAAACGCGACAGTCCTCCGCGTCAAACCTACGTCAGAAGGCACGGCAGCCGTTCACCTCGTAGTAATTATCGGAAAAATCACCCGTTTCAGAAGAAAGATGACAGTTCTTCACCACCACGTGTCTCGAAAAAATCAGAAGACCAAAGAAAACGTAGTTCCTCCCCGCGGAGAAACGGAGAAAAAGCAACGGAGTCCCGGGATGCATCACGAAGGCACCGGATGGATTCTCGAGATGACCGACCAAGAAGAAGATCTTCTTCAAGGTCTCCGCGCAGAGAGAATAGGTCTTATGGGCCTCGAGCTGGGCCTAGTTCTTCTGATAACGACAGGCAAGTAAAGAAGAAATTATCGGATAGTGAGAAAGAACAGAAAAGGTTGGAGATGTTGGCCAATGCCAATTGGCGTGAGCAGCATCGTCGCCGAAACGTAGAAAGTCTCGAAGAACAAGAAGCCCGGGAAGCGCGTGAGTTGAGGGGCTGCACGAAGGACGAATTTTCCATTACAAAGGAGACAATGGCTTTTCATGGATGAAATAGGCTTCACACGGATTTTTCGTTCTGATGTGGAATCTTGTCGACAAATTTTTATTGCTGGGAAACATTTTTATTTGATTTCTTATGAACGGAGTGTGGGTTGGAGGATCCCGTAAAAAGTTGATGGTTGAATACTTCTTTGAGTTTGAATGCTTTGGCAGGACTCATTCACACGCTTCTGAGGCACACGATATATTTTTTGGTACCTTACACATAAGAATGAAGTAGTTCTAAGCACTTTGATTTAATATTTCTGCATGAGGAAGCATCTCAATTCTTTTTTCCTGACTATATTCCCGTCAGAAGTTTTGCCATTTTTTTTTTACCATGAAAAGGCTGCGTCTAACTATTCTAAACGATGTTGTATAGTACAGAAAATATGATTTTTTCAAGAGAGGGGATTTGGAATAAGAAATCTACTTATTTATATGCCGTAGCCCGGAATGTTTGGCATAGGAAAACATTAACGCTTAAATCAAGCCATTAATCAATGCAAAAATCGGTTTGGTACGCCGTGCGAGAGGTCTTTAATCCGAGTCACCACAGTATTTTAAGCTTATGGAATGTCTCCTTGTTTCAGGAGCGTGTGATCGAGTTTAGGCATGTACCGTATTCTAGTACCATTTATCTGGAAGTAAACTGGATGAACCGTTATCAGATGAAAATTTCCTCATTTTTTTCAGTGAAGTGCTTATAACGGTGGGCGTATATGAGATGGTGTCGGTTATGCGGAAGCCCGTTTATATGACCCTGCCGTCGACGGCACATCGTGTACAAATCATGGTTCGCCGAGATAACGTCAGTGACGAGAACAATGACGATGATGGTGGCACTCGCGGAGTGGACTTCCGTGTTTACGACCGGGAACCAGACCAGTCGGAAATCCCCGAAGCCCTTTACCTCGACGCGTCGTCGAGTGACGATGAAATCTACGAACCCACGGAAGATAGTGACGATTTTGCAAATTGTAGACCGCGGTATCGCGTCGAAACTGTGTCAAAAAACTTTGTGGATTACCACAACATGCGGCAAATGGGCGCTGGGCGGTTTGAGTATTACGGAGTCGAGCCGGAATACGCCACGAGGTGCGTTACTCGCCTGTCAAGTTCAAATTTAAACGGATTCGAATGCAGGGTTTGCTTCAAAGAACAATATTTATAAATCTACGCTGCTAACCCGTGTTTCTTTCAAGAAATTGATTCCCCGAAGAGCCCTGGGGGCATCGCTTCTCCTTCATAAAACATGTAAGAAAACCGGCAAATCACTCAATTTCCCTGAATCATTTGAAGATGAACGGTGTGTGAAATGCTGTTATGCATATTTATTCTTTTGTTTTTCTACTGTTGTTCCACTTCGAAGTGTTTTACTTTCCCCCTTCTTTAGTAAATTTAAGTGTTGTCAATATGTGTCCCGAAGAGATTGGTTCGCTCAAGAATCTTTATTACTGCACAATAATATTTTTGGAATGTGAAATAGTAACATTATTTTCAATGCAAGTTCATGGAAAAGTGCATTCACTACGTTGAAAGCCGGATAAAATAGACCCCTTCCGTCAGAGGAATTAAGCGAATATAAGCACCCGTTTTTTCAATTTTAGAAGCTCAGAAACTCGGGGGTTCGTATGTTCGTATATGTATGCGATTCGCGTAAACGTTAGCACACCTTTTTCCGGTTTCTCAGGGGAAGGTGTATTGAAAATTAATTAAAATACTTCTTACGGTATTTAAAAGTAACATGTAATGTAACCGTTACTATTTATTATGTTTTATTCAAGTACTGTACTGTAAAGGGACATCAAAATGAAATATGGAAACCAGGAACGCCGTATGTGTTACAGATGGCCTTTGTTCACTTCGTCTTGAATCCGTTAATCCTTTTCTGGGGAAAACCTAAATTTAGTCAGAAATTTAGGTTCCTGGAAATTTAGAGCACCAGGAAGTTTGGGAGAGAGGGGGGGGGGATGCTTACGAGTGATCTAATAAAAGTTTCGAAATAAAAATTTGAATTGCGCTGCAAAAACAGTTATTTTTCATAAAAAGAAACATTCTTTCAGAAAGGAAAGAAATGCAACCCTGTTCGTCATTTTTTAGACATGTTTTTTCAAAAGTCGCTTTGTCAGCTTTAAGCTCTTCACTCAAAAAATAAAAGAGGCGCCATCTCGCAGATTTTTTGGTTCCGCCGAAATTTTCCTTCGGTATTCTTGAAATCGACATGGCATTGATCCCGGGGTGTTACCTCCAGGATTCAGAGGTAATTCCGCCATTTTCATCAACAGCCGCCGTCACAGCCGCCACATTCTCATCCCGAGTGTCGGCTGTGATTTGTGATGAAAGCAGTTGACATGAAATAAACCTACACTTCTCGGGAATGTGCGAAAGAATGGTTTTCAGGGATATCAACAATTTTCAAAGATTATTATCTCCGTCAGTCCGAAAACATTTGATAATTTAGTCACACGATTTCAAGAAAAGCTTTGGGGTCGTTTCTAATTTTGCATGCGACCTTGCTCTGTTGAATGTTAGAGAGTTTTTGTTTCAATCATCAACATGAACTAACTTAGCATAGCTCAAACTTTTAACTTGGATTTCAAAAAACATGAGATATATCCATTTAGGTGAGTGATACCCGTCTAAATCTAGCGGCGAAAACAACGCTCAGTTGAGGGCAGTGCTGAAGATAAGATCACTTTTTGTTGTTGATGAAGTCCATCATTTTGATTTTATTTTTTTAAATCTTCAGATCCCTCACTTCATTCATTGAACTTCATGTGCAATGTTTTTTCTTCACTATTTTTTTCACTAGGTACCTTCTGACACACAACATGCTTTCGGAGCAAATGATCCGATTGGACCGGGTGGACAAAATTTTCAGTGCCGAATGGCTGAGTGATCGACAAGTTGTATTTGGTACAAAGTGCAATAAACTAATGGTATACAATGCGATGCACCGGAAGGTTGAACGTATCCCGTCGCTGGCAAGACCAACGCTTGCGTCAGTCGGTGAGTCTTATTGATCAAACTTCATTAAATTTGAGGTCTTGTCAGATCTCTACTCCAATATAAGACATCGAGTATGATGCAGCTGGCATTTTTTTTTTTTACGAGGAAGCTAATCATCAAATAATTTTAAAAATTAAAAGAATGCAGGCGGACTTTCTCTTCGACGATATTCAAGGGACAATAACAGAAACAAAAAATTATTGTTCAGGAAATTCGTGATATTCCGGGCCTTAATGCTTCTTAAATGAGTTGACACGATGCTAAACTTGAAGGCAAGGGTTCACTAGCCCAATTAATCTTTCGCTTCCTTTCAAAACACATCAAGAAGTTACATATATACTTTCTGCGTGAATTAAATAATAGCCAAAAGGCTTCTAAAAAATTGAGTTATGGATGTTTGAGGGAAGACAGTCTTTGCGTTGGACATGTTTTCCAAGCATTCGTCCTGACGGTATTCAGACAGGGACTTTTAAAGAAAAAAAATCTTCTACTTAAGGAGGTTTGAGTTTTTGAGGTGCAGCTGCAATTATATCCTTAGCCAATTTCGGTGTTGTCTTCCCTCAGGAAATAACGTACGGAAGCGCCGGAAACTGGAACAGTTGACGGCTCTGGTATCCGAGCCTCGTGACGTGAAGGGCGGGATCCACGCAGTGCGTATCAACAAAAGCCGCACTCTTCTCGTCACCGGTGGTCAGCAGTCCTGTGATGTCGCGGTTTACGCGCTGCCCACCTTCGACCCCGTGTTTGTCGGCGCAGGTGCTCACGACGATCTCATTTTCGACATTGCTTGGATTGACGAGCAAGTGTTTGTGTCGGGTTCGAGGGATTCCTCGCTGGCCATGTGGAAAGTTAATTCCAAGGATTTGCGGCCCGCGGGGGGCGAAGATATGCCGCGCTGTGAACTCCGAGCTCCTATTCTCAAAAGGAAGTGCAAGATGGGCGAGAAGGTGCGGACGATGGGATTCAATTCCAAGTACCCGGAGATTGTGGCGATTTCCATGAACGCCTTTCTTCACATTTTTGATCCTTTCACGCTGAAACAGGTCAGTTTTTTTTTTTTATTTCGCAGAAGTTCTCTACTTTATTCATCGCTTTGCGATTTTGTTTAGAAGATAATGTGTTGTGGCACGGAAACTCGCGCCTGTCATCGAACAACATCTGTTCGGAAAATATTCGAAATGGTTTCTTCTTTTTATTTTTAATATGTTTGCGATGACAATTTCAAATCAAATTTCCAATGGTTTCGGCCAAAGAAAACAGAAATCTGTATTTATGGATGAGACTGGATTTTATAGGATCATTAGCCAATTTTTTTTAAGACGTTCATGTGCAGTATTGATGAAAATTGTCCGATTTAGGCGGATCTGGGAATGATGGAACTGTTGTTTATTTAGTTTACAATGACAAGGGTGGGAAGGTAATGCGTAGAAAAATTCCGTTTCGATTTGGCCATCGTATTACGTCGAATTCGATTTTCTGACATGTCTATTGAAAACCGTTCGTGCGAATATCGAAATATTGCAGGTGTACTCACTCTACAACGAAATTAAGGTGACCAGAAACAAACTTCGTTGTAGAGAGAATTTTGAATTTTTTCCCGAAGAACTTTCATAGGATGAAGGAGAACCTCTATGCCTGGGACCAAAAAAAAATTACACAGCGTAAATTGTTGTAGAGAGAGTCTACCTGCATTAATCTGGTTTCAGTGAACTCATTTTTTTATGGTTGTTGAAAAGGAATCCTTCCGGTCTTTTCACAGAAATATTCTCGTCGATTACCACATTTGGTCGAGAATGTGTGCATTGCTGTGGACGAAGTGAAAGATCTTTATGCAATCGGGTCAAAATCGCACACAACACTCATTGATGGTAGAACATTAACTTCAACGGATAAAATCAGTTCCAGGATGCACGGATGGGGTGAGTAAAAGTTATGCGTCGTATGACATCGCAGTACTGTACAGTGTAACGTATCCCGTATACCATCTGCTTCAAAATCTGCGGAAATGTCCTTGTTTCTTATACGTGTTCGCCTGGGGTCCGCTATTGCTTTTTTCCTTTCATTTTATTAAATTCCTTCTGGGTGTTCCAGATTTAAAAAATGATAACCGCGCATAATTGTTATGTCTTGTTCGTAGGAGTGAGAGTTTGTTTGAAAAAATACCTGATCGTTTATTTCAATTTCCAAAGCAGCATATTTATTCGATTGCAACTTTTGTAATAGATTTGATTTCGTGCTTACCTAAGGAAAGAAAATTCTATTCGAGTTCGGAAAGAATTTTATCAAAAATTGAACAAAATTCCAGGATCATAAAATGTAATTGTGAAACTTCAATTTTTTACGAGGGTAGAAGTATTGAATCACGCGGAACTGGGTCAACACTGGTATCCTGTACGCGTATCTATGAATTCTCGCTTGATTTAGCTTGATGAGCCAGGAATGTTTGAAGATTTGCTCGTTTATCCACAGGCATTCGGTCGCTTTCCTTCCTGGGCGATTTATTAACCATGGGAACAGGAAACTGTGGGGGGCGGGCTTTTGGACTACACCCGGATCTGGGAATGATGGAACTGTTATTTATTCAGTTTACAATGACAAGGGTGAGAAGGTAAAGCGTAGAAAAATTCCGTTTCGATTTGGCCGTCGAATTCGATTTTCGGACATGTTCATCGAAAACCGTTTGTGCGAATATCAATACTGTATATTGCAGGTGTACTCACTCTGCAACGAAATTCAGGTGAACAAAAAAAAAATTCGTTGTAGAAAGAATTTTTTCCCGGCGAACTTTCTTATGACGGGGGCAAAGAACATCTATGCCTGGGACCAAAAAAAAAAAAAATTGCACAGCGTAAATTGCTGTAGAGAGAGTCTACCTGCATTAATCTGGTTTCAGGGAACTATTTTTTTTATTGTTGTTGAAAAGGAATTTTTCCGGTCTTTTCACAGAAATATTCTCGTCGTTTACCACATTTGGTCGAGAATGTGTGCATTGCTGTGGACGAAGTGAAAGATCTTTATGCAATCGGGTCAAAATCGCACACAACACTCATCGATGGTAGAACATTAACTTCAACGGATAAAATCAGTTCCAGAATGCACGGATGGGGTGAGTAAAAATTATGCGCCGTTTGACATCGCAGTACAGTGTAACGTATCCCGTTTACCATCTACTTCAAAATCTGCGAAAATGTCCTTGTTTTTTAGACGTATTCTGGGGTCAGCCATTGCTTTTTTCCTTTCATTTTATTAAATTCCTTCTGGGTGTTCCAAAACTTTAAAAATTGATAACCGCGCATATTTGTTATGTCTTGTTCGTAGGAGGGACTAGGGAGAGTTTGCTTTTTAAAAATGCCTGATCGTTTATTTCGATTTCCAAAGCTGCATATTTATTCGATTGGAACTTTTGTAATGGATTTGATTTCGTGCTTACCTAAGGAACGAAAAGTCCATTCGAGTTCGGAACGAATTTTATCAAAAATTGAACAAAATTCCAGGATCATAAAATGTAATTGTGAAACTTCAATTTTTTACGAGGGTAGAAGTATTGAATCACGCGGAACTGGGTCAACACTGGTATCCTGTATGCGTATCTATGAATTCTCGCTTGATTTAGCTTGATGAGCCAGGAATGTTTGAAGATTTGCTCGTTTATCCACAGGCATTCGGTCGCTTTCCTTCCTGGGCGATTTATTAACCATGGGAACAGGAAACGGTCAAATATCGTTCTACGACCTTCGGGCGAGGAAATATCTCGAATCTTCTATCCACACTGGCCGATTCGTCACCTTGAAAACGTCGAGTGGCACCGTGGTGAGTACAGTTTCTTCGAATTGCGATGACGTGCAGTCGAATGAACCGAAAAGATGGGTTTTCTCTACCAATGTTTCTTTCGAATCTAAACTTGCATGTTCCCTCCTTTCCTCGTGGCTGCCATTTGTTTTGGAGTATTTTTGTGTGAAATTCTTCATTTTGATTGGGAGCAGTTGAGCTCTTCTTGTTGGAATTATGGTTTCGTTTTGTTGAGGAATTCGATTGAAAGTTTCGGGTTGTGAAGCAGTACTTGAAATTCATGTTGCTATGTATACTTTTTTTTACAATATGAAGCAGCATATGATTCCACTTTCTTTGCGGTCCGTTGAAAGGCATGTAGCCTTGATTAATTACCATGAGGGGGTAGAATTTTCAGTATAGTACAGTATTCGGATATCTTGCACGTGCTGTTTTGAATTTACAGTGTTGAATATGTGGTTGATCAGTTGATTAATTATTTGCTCTTAGTTATCAAATGATCCGTCACCTGAGGCTTTGAATGGAGTCGACCCTCAACCTGCCATTTACACCCACTGTTATGACTACAGTGGAACTCGGCTTTTCGCTGCAGGTGGACCCCTGCAGGTTGGAAGTCAAGGGAATTACGCCAGTGTTTGGCAGTGATGTGAAATTTTTCATACTCTTTGTCATCGTTCTTTTTTCACATTTGCTCAGAAATTTTGCCTTTTCACAATTTTTCTCTGGACTCATCCTTGAGACACGCGTGAATGTGAGTGGATTTGGCAAGTGGATCTGGTTTGCATCGCTGTGGTTATCACGTGATTTCCTGGATGCCTTTTGTCATTTTTTTTTAGTTGTGATCAAAAACTATTTTTTTGTTAACTACGTTTTATTCTGACTGCTAGGTTGCCGCCCGACGGAATTACTTCCTAATACAGTGCGTTTTGTTTTCATGCATTGAGTTTGATGTGTTTCCTGTGGAACCACTTCCATCGAATTTGCCTAGATGACCTGGCAAGGTGTGGATTACTTAGTCAACAAATTTTTTTTTATTGTAGTGAGAAAAATCTAAGATGAAGTCCAGTGCAGAAATTGGAATGTTGCAATCAAATTGTTATCACGCTATGGAATCAAAGATTATGTATTGTTTGTTGTGGGCCTTGAGTCATTTGAAATTGATCGTGTTTCCAAAAAAGTCAACGTATCATTTTAGATTGTTTTCTTCTTCAGGGAATCTGGAAGTGCTGTGAGCGTTTTTGTGATAGCTCGGCGTGCGTGTGTCTCGAGAGATCATGTTGTGATGTGTATGGCTGATTTCTTCAAACTTGGATACCATCAGCTTGAAAATGGTGTGTGAGAGGGCGAGGATCCCAGGAAACCTTGGAATAACGGGTTTTTCCATCAAAGGTCAGAGCTGCTTGTTCACTTCCGCTGTAGTCCCCATCTCCCGTCCATCTTGTTTCCTTCATGGTTTCCTCAAATTTTCGAGTTTCAATTTTCAAAATTCGACCGTTTTTCAGCCAAAAACTTTTGTTGAGTAAAACATTTCTTTGTGCTGATCACGTTTTCCCCGTTGGGATTCTCGTTGTTCGGGTCTTCCGTAATTTGAGGACAGCCTGTACTGTAATCCGTTGTTGTTATTCACAGAAAATATAACAGATCTTGTGAAAATTGTTTCATTCAGAAAGGAATTCAAGGTGGATAAATTTTCGAAGAAGAGCAGAAAACACCACAAAGAAAAGTCTCTCAGATTAAAAACAGATTCTGTGGTGGATAATTTTCCATTTTTCGCAATCGATCTTTTTCTTATGTCTTCCGTAAGAAAAACTAACATAATTTGTAATGTACAGTATTGTAGATTGATCATGATTTTTTGATGGGAAAATACAATTAGTAATATTTGGAATGAACTTTCACTCCCGAGGGCTTTGACCTAATAACAAATATTGTCCCACAAATTGTTGAAATTCTGTATTAGAACATGATTGATTTTCTATTTAAGAAAAAATAAATGCTGTAAAAGTATCTCAACAACTGTTCCAACTGTGAAACATTTTTCTCTAATCAGGGAACCTTGGTGTTCTCCCTGTTGGGCCGGGTTCAACAAAGTGGGTTTATGAAAATGAAACACTGTGTGCAGCCTTTAGGAGGCCGGATCCTCCAGAAGGGAGTCCCTTAAACCTTATTTTAATGCACACACAAGAATACAATTCCCGCAGGCAGAAGACACAATTCCTAACAAGAAGTTTCTAACACACACACACAATTGTCAAACAGAAAGCACACATCGCACACTTGGCAAATCCTTAAGAGGTCCTTGCAGTAGTAGGCAAAGCTGGAGAGTGATTGTTCCCAGACTTTGCTGAGAAGTTGACTGGAAACGGTCTGAAGATTATGGAAACTTGTCTAAATCCCGGTTTGCCATTCTCATGGTCAACTGGGTGCGCATTGGGGACTCCCCTGCTCTGCCAAGCGGTTTTCTTGAGCCCAAGCAAAGACCCTACAATTGGGCTACCTATGTAGCTAGGCGCGACCCCACACTCCCCAGATGCTATTTGAGTTCTCTTAAATTTGAATTTTACTGGTCCCTTTAATGTCATTGTGGAGAGCGTCCACCTTTATTCCGGAAATTTTGAATGCGGTGAAGAGGTTGAATCGCCTGCAGTAGATCGACCATTTATTTATACAGTATTATTCTGCTTAATACAGTATTTGTCATTTCTCAGCTATCATTCACGTACTGTATTAAAAAAATCATTCAAAGAAGGGTTCGCTTTTTAATGCATTATCTGTGAAAATGTGTTTCAATGTTCTATTGAGACTTCCTGGATTCCAGTTATACAGTATTAGATTGATTTTCTATCCATTCATCATTTTTGAATTGGAAAAAGAAAATCACTCCTGAACAAAGCTTTGAATCCAAATTAAATTGCCTCACAGACTTGACGGAGCGACCTGATAATTGTTTATTCCTTCATACCCATGGAAACGCTTAAAAAAATGGAGAGAAAAGATAACTTGAATTCCAGTTTGATGTCAATTTCAACAGAATACAACACAAAAAATAGAGGAATCAAATGGTAATGTCCCTGGGTAAGAACTTGGTCCTCCGCAAAGCATTCGGTCCACCCTGTCCCGTTACGTCATCCACCAAAGCAAAGCGCTCCACATTCTTGAGAAATTGATCCAAAGGTGGATATCGTCTGGGGTCCGTCACCACTCTCCTCACAAACCTTTTTTGAAATTCCTCTGAAAATGGTCAAGAACAATGTAAATTAACATCAACACCGAAAATTGTAGAAGGAAAATCACCTGGTTCGGGTCCAGCTTCAGGCTTCCGAAATGGAACGTAATCAAAACCGACAACTTCATAGGGATTCAGAGAGTCTTCGTGCCTTTCTCGGGCATATTTGGCCCTGTAGTTGTATGGGAAGTACAAGTCCCGGACTTCGAAAGCATCCAAGTAATAGGGGAAGTGATGCCTGGGTTCCTCTCCCCAAATGTTCCACCTGCTGGTGGTACAACTCACGGAATCCAGGATCAAGAATGCTGCGAAAATTTTGCAAATGTCTACAGAAGGCCATGGATTCAATCTTGGTTATGAACTCACCGAGAATCGCTGAAATAATCATGACTCAATTCATGGAGAATCTGCAGGAAAATCTCAAGAATTTGTGATTTAAAGACGTTTGCGAAAATTCACATACTCTGGAACAAAAATGTAAAGGTTCGTTTTTCAGTTTTCACTCAGAATAGCAAATTGCAATGGCATCAGCATCAGAAAAGCAAGTACATTTTTAGCTGATGTAAAACTACCAAATTTAAAAATATTGTGCATCTAAATTGCACAAATTGTACATATGCTGATTTTTATTCATTTGCAGACTTGCTCTTCTGATGTGCCCATTTATCCATTCACAAATAAATTCCGGACGCAGGTTGGCCCAACAAAAGGAGACGTTGAATTACCTCAAACGTTTTTAGCAGCAGTCTTCAGATCATTCCAACGCACATTCATTACATTCATCGCCACCAACAAACCCCCGGGTATCAAAGTGATGAAAGTATACAATGCTAAGATCATGAAATCCATCAAAAATGCCTGAGAAAAGCTCGGAGTGTAGGCCAATGTGCCAACCTCTTCCAACACACCATTCACCACCGGTCCTCTCACGTATTTTGCGGGATGAAGCGGAATGGGGTCGAATAGCTTCACGATTGGGCCTTTGTATTCTGTGATTGGCGGAGATCCTGGAGCAACATTTGGCAGAGAGTGTTGGATGACCTCGTATCGCAGGTTTTGCGGAGGGAAATATGGGTGGCGGATGACGGGGGTTCCAGAGCCTGGAGGCGATGTCAGGAGCAGGAAGATGAGGTGTACTGACAAAACACGCTTCATGTTGGCTGTCACCATCTGAAATTTTAAATCCCAGACTGTTAGCAGAAGAACTGGGAGAAAAGAATGTGGCAAAGTCTGTTTTTTTCTATTCATCCCTGGTTGATAAACTTTTGAAATTCCGATTTACTGTTTAAAATTCTTTTTAATACTGTGTTTAATGCCCGCTTGTTTTTTAAACCGGCTCCATGAGAAAAAAAAAATTCTGCAGCTCAACAATTTCATGGGCCCAAAAATCTTAAAAACTGTACTTATGCATAAGAAATAATCCTATTTTGACATCTGAAGTAGGCAATGATTCGCAAAATTATGAATTACTGCATTAAATTGTTTAAATGCAGTTTTGGAGTAAAATTTTATTAGCATGGTTTCCAAGTTGGAATCCTCTACCAATGCTATAACACTGATACAAAGATGAATCTCGAAACTGCATTTATGCCTGTTAAATGATTTCAGATTTTGTCTGGCACCATTGCCCACTTCACTTTCCAAAAGAGGCTTTTTCCGATTTTTGTAACCCGCGGGATTATCTCCTAGAACCGAATTTCTCCTGAGCCCTTGAAACCACAGCACTGCCACATAATTCTGCGAACTCCGAAATTATTTTGCTTTTAAAATATGAAGTGTTTTTTTTTTAATCATTCCGCCCAAGTGGAATCACTTATAACCTCCTAACTCAACACACAGGTCAGAAGTCCCTGATTCAGTAAGGAGGAGAGGCATTGAGGCCTTTTTTTTTATCCAAGACCTGTTCACTGTTCTCAAGGAGAACATTTCACAGAAGGTCCTTGAGACAGAATAGCCAGAAGGCTATTGGTGACAGTAGGAAGATGAGGCCCAGGTATTTTTGACCGGATTAGCCTGCTCTTTTATCCCCTTTGTATTCGGTTTGGGTGTAGGGAAGATCAACCAGGACGAAAACCACGCAAGAGGTTTAAGCCGGCTTAAGCTGTCGGGGAATGTTGACCACCACTTTTTTTCAAGAATGGGGGCCAGCTACCCCCAGAGTTACCAAACTTCTTCTTTCCTGCTGATTTTCAAATACTGTACATATTATTGGTGAATTTCCGCTGCATCCCCTGCCTCAATATTGAAAGCCCTTGAAATTCTACGGGTACGCTGCGATACCGCGGCGGCGACTGTAGTAGTGTTTTGCAACCCACCCTTTTTTTGGTGGCGGTTTTATGGTGACGCTGCTGCTGCTTCTGTCGAGGCAGTATTTACATTTACGCCGAGCTTCTCAATCGTTGTTGAACACCTACCTCATTGTTGCTAACAAAATCATTTCTCTCACTGTCAATCCAATCTTTGCGTAACTGAGGAATTGCAGAAAAATGCCTGACTGAAATTCATCTGAGAAAGGAAATTTTGGAAGCATTAAAATTTTCTTGGTTATTCCATACATTTACTCGAGTATCTCATGAAAATTTTTAAAAAACAAATTCCGAGAAAGAAGGGTCTGTGTCGCACTTGGGCGAAAAGTATTCTGCGATGCAATTTTTTAGAATGTTGTTATGCATTTGGGAGGGGGGGGGGGTCCGTTTCCAACTGAAGTACAGACAAAAGCACTTCAGGAACAAGGCTAATTTTTTTCAAGATTTCAGTATTTTATTTTGAATTATTGCTTACAAAAAATGTTCATCTCAGTCCCAAGGGATTATTTTCACCGCTGAAGTATAACCCTGGAAGGATTATCAAAACCCTTGGAAGGAATTAAAACCTTCGCACTTCCACAATTCCCCAAGTCATAACCCACCAGATTTTTATGGTACCCGACCAAAAGCCCCCCACCCCTTTTTTTAAAAACATGTTTTTGACAACTTCATCTCTTTGGAAAGTTGGGATTGTTTTCAAAGATGCGACCTGCACACAATTTCGGAATCATGAGCTGTCCTTTATCTTTGTTTGTAGAACGCAGATAAGCCACATGCTTTGTTCTAAGAGGTGACATCCGCAGACAGACAAAACGGTACCCGACCAAAAGCCCCCCCTAGGTTAAAAGCCCCCCCCGCCCCCCACATTTTTTTGGGATGCAAGTTTCATAACAGTGTTTGGTGGCTCTGAGAAAGTGAGAAGGGCTGCTTGGTTTCATTAGTCCTCAAAATGATTGTTGAATAATCATCTTCAAAATTGCCTTCTGCTGCCTCTTCCTCACTGTCACTGATGCTCTCCATGTCATTTTATTCTAAATAGCCATTTTAGTATGCAATTTGACCGCCCTTCTGATTATTGATGATCTGAAGTGCACCAGCCATTGGACCCACAAGGTGAACTGTAGATTTTGCAGAAGTCAGCAAATGATGATGCTTTGAAATTCAAAGAATCACTGATGACCATTGCAGGTGAAGAATACCTTCATATACTCAACTTACCAACATATTGGTACTTTGCCTTGTGCTGAGCCTGCTTGTGAAAGGTGCAGCTTACCATCAAGAGTTACAAGAATACCTGTAATCCCCAATTTTTNGGGGGGGGGGGGGGGGGGGGGGGGGGGTCTGAACTACACCCATTTTTATTCCCTCCAGACGGTTAGATGGAAAGCCCAGAGACAATGTTACAATTTTTTAGTACATGGCATTTTTGTACTTACGGGATTTTTTGGCCGCGGAATTTCATCATGGAGCCCCTTCTTTACTGTTTTTCTGATCTAGTTTTATATTTTACACCTCGATTTATCTTTCTGCATAATTTTGTTTATATTCCATCCGTAATGTAGTGAGGAAACATTTCGGTCCAAAAAAATACTGCACCGTATGTTAGGTTCATTAGCTCAGCCTGTTCGTTACGTTCATTGGATTAAGTGAGGTCCAGTAGCTTAGGTTAGGCTATGTAGTTCGGGTGAAGTCCTTTGGGTTAGGTTTACTGGCTTATGTTATAAACGGTAGTTCGTAAGATGGAACGCGATTCAAAGGTTCCACGCGCAACTCAAAACTCTCAAAGTTATTTTGAAACGTACTACTGAAGGTATTTACATGCTTCAATAGAAAAAAATAAGAGTAGCCGGTGACTGGATGGGTAAGTGGACATATTTTAGTTGTTACTTTCTATTCAAGTCAATATCTTTTTTCTATTTAATTCAATACAAGTTGCTCCCAAGCCGTCCCAAAGGAATCCGCTTTCTTTGTATTCTTGATTTGGGCACTGTTAAATTTCGGCGAATCTTTTTCCCCCCATTTTTTAATCCTTCTTTGATGTTTGAAATGCACGCAACACCTGTGTAGTGTAAAATAAAATCAGATTCCCTGAGGGAAGGGGGAAAGAAAATTTTTTTTACAAGTTTTCACAGCAGTCAACGCAAGTGGCGCGTTCCCCTGCCGTAGGAATCCGTCCTTGTTGGTCTGGTTTCTGTTCGCTTGACGTGTTTTATTTTTATTATTTTTTGCGTCATGTCCACGTATATTTTTTATGCGTTTCGAAAGCACTGGATGCTTGTTGGGGATGAGCGGCAGCTGTTCGAAGCGCCGATGGGGGAGAAGCGAGACGCCAGGTGACGATAATCATAGAAGGCGGGCGCTGCCCTTGGTGAACTGATGGCATAGCTGGGCTCCCGACTGTACAAACGTACGTACGTACACTTCGTCCGGGTACGAGAAAGGGAGAGGGGGGGGGGGGGTTTGGGTTCAGGCTATTGAATGCATGTGGTGTTCGCATCCGGGAAAAACGTTGGCCCCGCCGCGCGCTCTGGCTTGGCTGTGCTTCGTTACGTCCTGTGGGAGCAGAGGAAGGGGGGGGTGGGTTCGGGTTTCTTTGCGCTGGGAGTTCCGCTCGGTTTTGGAAGGAAGGGAGAAACCCCTCGATGAGTTCCGAAAATCCGCTGGTCGTTGGCGGTGGTCGCCGAAGTTGCTCAGTGTGCTCTTGTGAAATTGTGTACGAGGAAGTGAGAATTCTTGGTAGAGTTTATACATAAGCATCGCGATTTTTTTTTTCTCATTTTTGTGATGAAGTTTTTTCGCGGACTGGCACTGGTAGGTTTCAACAGTGTTCCCCGACCTTTTTCGCTCACGGATTGGCGGATTTTAATAAAATATTTTGCGGACCGGCGAATTGTCATGAAATTTTCTGCGGACCGGCAAAGTTCCATAAAATTTTTGAAGACCAGGACAACTTTTAAAATACCGAACCCAAAGTCCTCAGAAAAAAATACTTGTATTGCAAAAATTGAGCGAATAACCAATAAACAGCGAAATACTGTACAGAATTGGATTGTCTTGAAAAAAATATAAACCTGGGCTTGAAGAAAGACTTCTCAGATTTAAAACTGAAAGTAATATATTTCAGACACGTGAAGATATGGCGTAATATATGTGAAGTATATTAACCAATCAATGTTCATCTAAAGTTAATTTTTAAAAAATAATAATTTATGAACGAGGATGCTTTGCTCAGCACAAGCGAGAGCATCTAAGAATGTACATGATGGCACAGTACATTGGTACGTGATTCTGGTTACCTCGTCAAATTTATCAATCACATTTCTATCTTTCTGAAAGACTAAATTTTATTTATCCACTATCCGAATCAAAAGGATATGACTGTCTGATTCCTCTATTTGGGGGTGCCACGAAATAAGAAGAGCAAATTTAACTCAGCCTAAAACTTGAAGAGTTCATATTTTAATTTCGCATATTATTTGCTTATCCGAAGGAAAGGATATTTCTGTCTGATTCTTCTATTTGGAGGTACCATGAAATAATAAGTCAAATGTAATTTAGCCTAAAACTTCAAGAGATCATTTTTTAATTTCGAATATCACCATCTTCTTTGTGCTCAGTGTTTGAGACGCTGTTTTGTCTGTCTGCGGATGTCACCTCTTGGAACAAAGCATGTGGCTTATCTGCTGTTCTACAAACAAAGATAAAGGACAGCTCATTATTCTGAAATTGTGTGCTGGTCGCATCTTTGAAAACAATCCCAACTTTCCAAAGAGATAAAGTTGTCAAAAACATGTTTTGCTCACGCCGAATTATTCCGTGGTTATTCAGAATCACTAACGAGGAAATCATTGCCTTTTCAATTTCTTTGATCGGATACTTGAGTTAGAGGTCATTCCTTGAACCCTGCGTACATTATTCACTTACATTTAATCCATTATCTGTATTTCAGGCTGCACTTAATCTCCGAAGTCTTAAACGATAAACCGATAGAAGGTTTTTCCAGCGTTCGTTAAGATCTATTGTATTTGGTTCTGCATACGTTGTATTTTCGCTGTAAACCGCTTTCTTGTGGTACATCACTGAAAATGCCTGAAAGGTGAAGTAAACGGGGTGAAGAAAAGGTAACTATGCGTATTTCCTTGTTTCAATGAAATAACAAGCTTGCTATTCGTGAGGTTTAGCTGACTTGAATTCGGATGTCATTATTGAACGTCATTAAAAATTGTTTATCTCAGCGCCTCGAAACCTTGCGTCACTGACGTTCTAGACGCATAGTTCTAAGTAATTGAATGACTTACATTTCAAACTCCCGATCTGAGCTTTTCAAGCGTTTTTAAGTCGCAGGTATATTTTTGGAAATCTTTTTTATTTTTTATTTTTTGCGAGAAGCAATGTCTTAGTTTTGTTCTGTAGTCTCAGCCTTGACTCACGCTGTACAAATATTGTGAGTACTAAGCTAATTTTGTTGAACTCGAATTCCGAAGTTCGAAAGTACCTCTTCATACCAGAAAAAAAATTTTCCGTGAAGCATGTTTTGAGAATTTCTGTTCTGATCTCTTCATTTTATTATTTGGAAAATTTGTTATACCGTATTTACGCGAGATATGCACCCATTTTCCTACTTTTAAAGGCTTAAAAACTATGGGGATGCTTATACAGTATTCGTGTGAATGTTAATGCCATTAGCGTAAATTTGAGTCTATATGAGAAAATATTCCTTTTCGCGGTCTACGAATTGATCGAGCTTTTCGTTTCTTCATTTATTTTGGAATTGAAGTTGGAAAAAAATACCGTAATCAAGATATGGTCAGTTTCTAGCACTTGAAGGTGACTAAATCATTGACTGAAGGCGAAGAGTCAGAGTTGCGTGATGCCGTTTTTTATTTTCTTAGAAATAAATAAATGTCATAAATTTAGGTCTCCGAATGTAAAATTAAATAAACACCTGGAAAGGAGGTGGGTGCTTATATTCGCCGATTAAAGTAATGGAATTTAAATTTCGTGCATTTTAAATTTGGGGAGAGCTTATATTTGCGTAAATACGGTATTTTTTGAGATTCTGTATTCGTAATACAGTACTGTACCGTGCTTTTTCATTTTGACATTTTTTCCTTTCATGTCCCTGGCGCGCGAGTCCCTTCATTAATTTTTTAAAATATCTTTTGAGGTACCGTATTAACCAGATATTTTTTTTCTTTCTTACAGCCTACGGAAGGAACATGAGAATCCATGGAGACCGTGAGTGGCCAAGAAATCGCCTTCGGGCTCGCTGGCTTAGCGGCCCTGGCGTACGCCACCAGCACCTACCGCAGCTCTCGAAGACGGGATCCGCACTCTGTTGTGGGCGGCACGATTGTCATGCACCACCGACGAAGCACCGTGGGCTACGAGGGCCAGGACGACGTCACGCGGCGTCGCACGACGGACGAATTTTCCGGGCCCGTTCCGATCCGACCCCACGGGGGTGTGAATCCCGATTTGGAGACTGATGATTCTACGTGGGATCCATACGTGAGGAACCGGGTTCAAACCACGTTTGCGTATTTGGGAAGCACGGCTGTGATCACTGGGATGTCGACGATTTTGGCTTGCAGGTGTGTGATTTTGGATTCGGATATTAATCACCATAAGGTTTATTTTCTGTCAAGTTCCATGATGCACGATCATTTACCGTAGTGGGTCCCATGGGAAATTGGGGGCCAGGAAATAGGTGTTTGTGGCATTCATTTTTGAAGTGTGAAAATGTTGAAACTTTATTCACACAAGTATAAGCGCACCCTCGATTTTTCATGCACAAAATTAAAATTCCATTAATAGGCGAATACAGTTTTAAGTACCCAATTAAGTTCCTGGTGTTCTGGCTTTCTAGGAACCTTAAAGTTCTGACCAAATTGAGGTTATTACCAGAATCGCATAAAAAAAACTCTTGCTCTTCCCCTTCAGTCAATGACTCATCCACTACAAGCTGGCCATTGCTTGATTATTTTTCGCTTTACACCCCCCCCCCCCCCCAAATATGGATTCTTTTTCCATTGATCCGAGTTATCACGGCATTCAAGATCAAGCAAACCAATTGAACAAACCTCACCATCAAAGCATTCAAAACCAGTCTAAATCATGGTTCATGCGATTACTGAATAGGCATTACCCTATTTTCTTAGCTTGTAAATTTGGGAAAAAGGGTTACGTCTATTCGCGTAAATACAGTACTGTAATTGTACGAGTGAATGTTGCAGGAAAAATGTATACGATGAAGTATTAAATTGATGAGGTAAGACAAAAAGGACTTGGAAAAATGAACGCAGTTTCTTGAAGCGAGGAGGTGAAAAGTATCACGTGTACTGTGTTCGAGATTGGATTGGTTTAAAGTGACATCAGTAATATTTGGGATTGATTTGAATTTCCACAGCTGATTTCTTCGAGTGCATTATGATGAAGAAGGATTCATGGAGTCTGTAGACTTTACCGTAGTCATTTTTTTAAATTGAATTTATGAGGTAAGACAAAAAGGAATTGGAAAAATGAATGATATTGAACGCACATCAGTATTATATGTGACGAATTGTAATCAAGGTGTCCAAAAATGTTCGTGTGCAGTGGGAAACACGTAATGCATCTTTTCTTTTTTTTTACCACCAAAAAACCCTCGGATGTTATTCGCACGAGTAGGTCGAAAATAAGTCACTCGTGCAAGTTTTTCTGCCTGTGCGAACTTGAATCCCCCCTCATTTCTTTCGCAGTTCGCCGAAACTAGCGTCTATGTGTTACGGCTGGGAACCCGTTGCGTTTTTCGGCGGAATGTTTGTGGCCTTTTTGTCGACTTCCGTGGTTGTTCTCATCCCGTACGAAAGTTCACCGAAGGGTCCTTTGGGTTTTCGATTCGGGATGAAGCAAGTAGCCTGGCTCTTGAACTGTGTGCTCAGTGGGATTGCATTGACCCCGTTGTGCAGGTTCGCGAGAGCTTCCCTCATACGATCGGCGATTTTGACTGCTGGCACCGTGGGTGAGGAAATGGGAGTTTAATTTTGTTGCGCTGTCGCTTCAGTGAGTCATAATACACCACGTTTCCTTGAAAGAGTTGACCTTTCTTGTCCCTTGAAAGTTGATCGGGATCTATTATTTTCTGATAACATTGCGCTTAGAATGCATGAACCATGATTTAGACTGGTTTTGAATGCTTTGATGGTGAGGTTTGTTCAATTGGTTTGCTTGATCTTGAATGCCGTGATAACTCGGATCAATGGAAAAAGACGAAACGTATGAGTGGGTGGATTCGTTGAAAAAGGTCCTCAAAAATTCAAGGGAATTTCATGGTATAATTGAAGTACTGTACCGTATTTACTCGAGTAGCATGCGTCCTCGAGTGCGACGAGCCCCCAGATTTTTTTGAACATACAATTTTACTAAAATCCCATCCCCCAGTAATACGCGGTTTCAAATTTTTTGTGACTGAANCCCCCCCCCCCCCCCCCCAAATATGGAGAAAAAATGCTCAATGGTTTTCAGGGCCGCGGGCAGGAATACAGTAATTCCTGATACAGACGCATATTTATGCGATTTGTATGTTCATGCGATTACTGAATAGGCATTACCCTATTTTTTAGCTTGTAAATTTGGGGAAAAAGGGTTACGTCTATTCGCGTAAATACAGTACTGTAATTGTACGAGTGAATGTTGCAGGAAAAATGTATACGATGAAGTATTAAATTGATGAGGTAAGACAAAAAGGACTTGGAAAAATGAACGCAGTTTCTTGAAGCGAGGAGGTGAAAAGTATCACGTGTACTGTGTTCGAGATTGGATTGGTTTAAAGTGACATCAGTAATATTTGGGATTGATTTGAATTTCCACAGCTGATTTCTTCGAGTGCATTATGATGAAGAAGGATTCATGGAGTCTGTAGACTTTACCGTAGTCATTTTTAAAAAATTAAATTTATGAAGTAAGACAAAAAGGAATTGGAAAAATGAATGACATTGAACGCACATCAGTATTATATGTGACGAATTGTAATCAAGGTGTCCAAAAATGTTCGTGTGCAGTGGGAAACACGTAATGCATCTTTTATTTTTTTTACCACCAAAAAACCCTCGGATGTTATTCGCACAAGTAGGTCGAAAATAAGTCACTCGTGCAAGTTTTTCTGCCTGTGCGAACTTGAATCCCCCCTCTTTTCTTTCGCAGTTCGCCGAAACTAGCGTCCATGTGTTACGGCTGGGAACCCGTTGCGTTTTTCGGCGGAATGTTTGTGGCCTTTTTGTCGACTTCCGTGGTTGTTCTCATCCCGTACGAAAGTTCACCGAAGGGTCCTTTGGGTTTTCGATTCGGGATGAAGCAAGTAGCCTGGCTCTTGAACTGTGTGCTCAGTGGGATTGCATTGACCCCGTTGTGCAGGTTCGCGAGAGCTTCCCTCATACGATCGGCGATTTTGACTGCTGGCACCGTGGGTGAGGAAATGGGAGTTTAATTTTGTTGCGCTGTCGCTTCAGTGAGTCATAATACACCACGTTTCCTTGAAAGAGTTGACCTTTCTTGTCCCTTGAAAGTTGATCGGGATCTATTATTTTCTGATAACATTGCGCTTAGAATACATGAACCATGATTTAGACTGGTTTTGAATGCTTTGATGGTGAGGTTTGTTCAATTGGTTTGCTTGATCTTGAATGCCGTGATAACTCGGATCAATGGAAAAAGACGAAACTTATGAGTGGGTGGATTCGTTGAAAAAGGTCCTCAAAAATTCAAGGGAATTTCATGGTATAATTGAAGTACTGTACCGTATTTACTCGAGTAGCATGCGTCCTCGAGTGCGACGAGCCCCCAGATTTTTTTGAACATACAATTTTACTAAAATCCCATCCCCCAGTAATACGCGGTTTCAAATTTTTTGTGACTGAAAAAATTATAATTTCCAGATTAGGAGGCACCAGAATATTAGTTCGGACGTGAATTCCACCTGGATTAAATTAGTTTTCAATTCTTTTGATTGAGCAAGCTTTTTCTGTCAGATTTGATCAAAAATTGCACATTTAAATTGAGTATGATGCGCACCTGAGCATCTTTAAAAAATTGGAAATTTTATACCCGCCTATGATGCATATCTAACCTCTGCCTTTCTCAATTTTGATTTTAAAAAAAGGTTCACGTGGTACTCGAGTAAATACGGTAGATAGAAAGACTTATTCTGGTGATGCGACCTTTATACAAATTACAGTATTCAGAGAAAACTCTGGAAATGAACTGCTGTACGGTATAATGACAATCTTGCCTTGGTTTGTATGTCAACTTTTGTTTTTTCCGGGAAGTCAAGATCTTTTAATCAAAAGAAGATCTGGATGACATTTCTCAAAGAAGGAAAATGAAGCTTCGTGTTATATAGGCTTAATTCACGGTGGGGAACTTACGAGAAAGAGAAACAGAGTTGTTATCTCGTGAAATTTCATTTTTAAGGAATGCTGTCAGCAGTCGGGATGATGGTGTCCAGTGAAAGCGTATTGATGATCAGTGGGCCAATGGCGATTACTTTCGGCGCAGCAGTTGCTTCTGCTATGGGTCTTTCAGTTTACCCTGTCGGTACAGATGTCGGTAATATGCTGAGTGACATGAATATGAACGTCGTCACCGTCTTGTTTTCATTGACGCTTCTGTATGACATTCACAATCTTGTTAAGGTAAATGGAATAGTTTGTTTTTAAATAGAATCCAACATTTTTGAAAGCACCTGTTGGTCATTTAGTCGGGTTTATTTTGATGGTCATCACTAACTGTCTATAGCATATGTTGGTTAACCTTCGCTCTAATACGCAAAGATTTATTTTGCTCGGAAATTCTCCACGGAATAAATTATATTTTCTTTTTGTATCAGCTTCTATACCGTAAATAGTGTGCGGGAAGTTCTTCCCCGAAGTTTTTTATATTTTTTATGGAGTAGTACGTTGTGCCCAAGAATGCACTACAATGATGAACTTTTAATGATGTGACGAACGTTCCTTACGTTTTATGAAACTCATGAAGATGAATAATTTTTCTAGTGTGGGTAAATGTCACTATCAATAACGAGAGCATTTCGATGTCAAATTGTATCATCCCAAGTTCAGTTTGCTGCTGTATTCCTCTATTATGCGCGGTCTGCATGATCACTGCTTCTTATAGACTAGGGATTATTCCGGCCCGCGGTTTCGAGTTTTTTTCAGGCTCGAGCTTTTTCTTGAGATTTTTCTGCAGTTATTTCAACCCGTTTCTGCATTCTCGTCACGTGTTTCGTTGCACTTCGGTGTGACGAAACAAGTGTGCTTTTGCTTAGAATTTTAAATGCGCCGGAAGTCCTGTATAAATCTTATTGAATAAGGTATTACAGTACAATACTGTACCTTATATTGTTATTTTTTTCAGGAAGCTGAAACGTTGAGGCCTGATTTTGCCGTTGACCGAGATGGCATCGTTCCATTTGATCCAGTTCGCCACGCAGTCGCCCTCTTCAACTCCGTGCTCGGGATTTTTATTCGCATCCTTTTCGCTGTTGTCCAGAGTGATTCGGAAAGGCGTAGACAACGAGAGCTGAGTCGTCGTCAGTCTCGAACAACTCACAGTCATAGAATCGTTGTCGAAGAGTCTGAATCCAGGAATGTGTCGGCGTATAGCCGTTCCGTGCGGCGTCCAGCTGGCGTTTCTTCGCGGAACGAGATGTATTCGTCCTGCAGAGAAGTGCGTGTTTGTGGGGGTGTGTTGGAGGAATGTGATGCTGATACAGTAGAGACGTATCGGCTTAGGCTGAAGGCCTACTTTCGCCCTCCGGCTATTATTATGGATGCGAGTGTCCCCTTTTATGCGCGTTGGAAACGTTGAATGATCTCGGCTTTAGTGGTTCGTTGAAGTGAAGGATCCGGCGACTTCGTCTTTTAGTTCGTTTCAACGTGCCAATCAACTGTTATGACTATCGATTCGAGAGCAATTTTCCAGGCCGATACTGTAGTTTCTAATCTAATTCTTTTTTATTCCACTGTCTTATTTCCGCCTTCAGTGAAATCAATTAGCTTATTCGAAATTTGTGAAAATGAATTAATTACTCTACTTAGCACTTACATCGGGAATTCTCAATCCTTGATTACGGTCGTTTTAGTTTAAAAAAATTTTAAGCGTTTTTGTTTATGCAAATTCCAGCTTTCCGTATCGCTTCAATAGCCAGATCTAATTTTTGCCTGATCGAATTTTCGAAACGTAATTGAGTCAATAACTGAATATCAGTCGGTTCGCGTTGATAAAAATGTTACCATACTATTTCAGGACCGTGAATCTGAGTACCGTTTTTCGAACCTTCGGGTAGGTTATAATTTTGTAGTCTTAAAAGTATTTAATTAATTTTCATGCGGAGTGTTTCAAAGCGGGTACACTTCAAGCGAATTTTCGGTACTGATGGGATCGATTGTGGACGCGCTATTTCCTCAAAAAATGGGCTAGGATTTAGTCTTATGTTATGTTCCGTAGGTTCGATATTTAATTTATTTATGTGGGATTTTAGGATTGTGTGCCTTATTCGCGTTAAAAATGAGATTTAAAACAGCTTTAGCTAAACGCGCGAAGCACTCTGAGCTCGTTAGTGGCGTTGCATGGGTTACGACGGATGACGTGTTATCCTGCGGGTGAGATAATTTTTTGGGAATTTTTAGTTTTTATCTGAAAAGATTGAATTATGTCGTTTCAGGGATGACCATAAGCTGCTGAAATGGAATTTGGTCAACAGCGAAACCACGAAAGTCGCCGACTTTCCTGTGGAAGTGTTCCCGACGTGTATACAAATTACGCCGAAATTGGCTGGAGCGGGAAAAGGAGGGGACTTGTGTTTGGTGACAGGTGCAGAAGGAAAATTCTATCTCATGTCATTGTCGGGGAGAATCGAAAGATCCGTTGAAGCGCATCGTGGAGCAGTTTTATGTGGACGGTGGAGCCACGATGGCGCCGGAGTGGTGACAGGTTGGTTACTCATTCGAAGTTTCGAAAAAATTTTGGGCTTGAATTATGTGTCGAAATGGTCTCATTCTCGTTTAAAACATAGGAGGAGAAGATGGACTAGTTAAGATTTGGTCGCGATCCGGGATGCTGAGGTCCACTCTCGCTCAAGGCATGAATCCTGCTTATGGAGTTGCGTGGAGTCCGAATTCTGATGCGGTGTTGTATACGTCTGGGAAGTCGCTTGTCATTAAGCCACTGCAGCCAAATTCTAAACCACTTCAGGTAAATCGCCGAAGTTGGTGATATTGTTCTACCCTTTGCAGGAAGTGCAGCACTGTAGTCATGATGTCATGGAGACACATATAGACCCAGATTTCTAGATTTAAGGCTCCTTATAGACAATGTATGGATGTCCCAAAGTCCTTAAAGTAAACGCAGAGAGCAACTGCTACATGGAGCGGTTTAATGATTGTAACCAGTTGGATAGCTCAAGTTTCACGAAGAAAGGAAACGAGGGACTCGCATTTTGGTGTTCTGCATTTAGCGGAGAATAAAATAAATTGAATTAATAAGTAATAAATTAATTTTCTAAATTTTCGAAACCCATTCCTTCACTACTGGACTCAATTTCTGGAATACTAAGAAGATTGTAGTGTGACGTAGAAGCTCAACTTCTAGTCTGCATTCAAATGCGAAGGGAAGATTTTGATTTTACGAGTCGTTTTTATTTTTTTGATGAGGAAAAGCACGTAGTCATTGACTTCTGAGAACTGTCGTACTGTATTTCTGTGTTGTCATGCATAAAAGACAATTAGACTTTACTTACTTGCACTGCAAATGAGTAAACTCAACACTGCATTTAAAAGGAACGATAAAACTCGATAAAAGGTTTACTTACTTAGAACTGCTTTAAAGATCCCAAAGAGAATTATGATGTACGGTTCTTTCTAGCTCCTGATAATCTCGGTGGCGAGAGTTTCCGATTAATTCCTCTAGTTCTGTTTTCTTTCCAATTGTAGATGCTGATCATAGGAAATTATTTCTTATTTTCGCAGTGGCGAGGGCATGATGGATTGATTTTAGCGGTGGATTGGAGCCCGTTGAACGGATGTATTTTATCTGGTGGTGAAGACACGCGTTACCGATTATGGGACAACTTCGGGCGGATGTTGTTCAATTCTGCAGCTCATGATTATCCAATAACATCTTTGTCCTGGTCACCTGATGGCGAACTTTTTGCTGTCGGTTCGTTCAACACGCTGCGCTTGTGTGACAAGGCGGGGGTGAGATCATTTACAATGATTTTTAAATAAAAAAAACTTTCATGTTTTATTTTTTACGTAGTTTTCGCATTTTCGAACTTCTGTGAACTGAGATCACGGCAGGTTGAAGTGTGGTCATTAATTCTTAATATCTTTTTCTTTTTTGAGAGAGGGAGAGAACTTTTTTTTCGTACATTTTTCTCAAGTTCGAATTCGAATTTTTAGTGGTCGCATTCATTGGAAAAACCGAATTCCGGTAGCGTCTTGTGTCTCGCCTCCTCGCCCCTACGGTGAGTTCAACGACCACCAACGCCTTTACCAGTGCAATAAAAACGGGTACAATAGCTTTCCACTCAAAGCAGGAAGTGGAAGACATTGTACCGAAAAGTTGGTAAAAGCAAACAAAGGTGATGTGAGAGTTTGTTTTGAAATGAAGGATCAAAATGAACGCCCCTTTGACCAGTGCCTTGGGAATTCAGAAAATACCTGAAAGAAGTACAGTACTGTATATGCCATCTTCGCAAATCACTCAAACAAAATAATGTCGCTTTAAACTTGTCTATGTCAAATCAAAGTTCAGTTTTAGCAGGTATTCCAGCCGTGCAACTAGTGACACTGTACTAGGTTTTTTAGATATGGTACGCATATCAAATTTCCTATTTTTTATAAGAGGTAAATGTGATGATTTTTTGAGTAGAGTTTGTTTTCACTGAGTTTCCAGTCTCACGAATGCTGAAGAGACGCTGTCCGTAACGGTAGACGCCGAGTGTAAATTAAACGCAGTCCAAGACGCAATACAATTTTTTAATGCTCTTCTGACGCTCTTGGTGACAGGCTTGCTTTTGGCAA